CTATTTAGTCTTACAGAATTCTTTCTATTGTTTGTTGGTGATGGTTATTTTACATAAAATTCCACACAAAACTGCCATTGATTTAAACAAAAGCATTCTTAAACCCATTATATTATTCACCATTCCCTTCCTCATTTGTCCGAACATTTTGTTCTGGTTTTGACCACAGCTGAACATTAAGCAGAAGCTGCCTTTGAACGTCATACACCTCCTCTTGTAAGTTTGTTCACAGCAACAGAGGTATTAAGTTAATCAGTTGAGTATTTTCCATATCAAATGTTATTAATTGAAATTTAACAGCAAAGGTGCATATACTTTTGTCTGACTGTGTGTCTTCAAATGATGCATTGGAGAGAAACCTTTACAGACACCACCTTAGCTATGGGTTGGAAAAGTGGAAAATGACTCTTGGTGAAGGGGGTGGGAAGAGAAAGCATCATAAAATATGTTTATTAGTATATTCTGAAGGATATGAGTGCTTGCCACCACTGATCGAAGTACCGTATGCAGGCAATACAAATACCGGTCACCAAAGTGTGATGCATTGAGTTACATAGTCAATAGCTAAAAAGTAAATAAATAAAAATAAGGTGTGCAGCCATAATGGAAACTTTCCCCAGATTCATCTCTTTTAGGGTGATCTCTGTCTTGGTGGGAAGTGGTTGAGGATGTGGCAGTTCTCCCCTGCCTACAGTGACACCAGATCTACAGTAGATGGACTACGAGTGCATTGTACTGGCATGTCCCCCCTTCCAGAAGGTTCGTCTTCCTAGCAAAGTATCATCTTCTGGGTGCACTGAGGTACTTAAACCAATGCTCAGTTTGAACAGGACTTTCAAGTTACTCCCCATAGACTGACATGAGTCATCTGTTTTCTATGTCCTTATGTTTCTGCCAAGACTACTAGAAAGCCTTATAATTATAACAACTTGCGTTCATGGCATCAGCAAGGCCCAAATTAAATTTCTTCTGGGTGTCCTACAGGTGGCACTGTAATTTCAGTGTCATGAATAGTAAAGAATTCAGATCTCTGGATGTCTCCTTTACCTTCCTTTGGACCCTGGAATTTCCCTACCACAGTGGGAAGAGAGCTGAGAAAACACAGGAGAATCCCTAGATAGCAGCATCCCTTCATCCTGCTTTGAAGAAACCAGTCTGTAATATTCCAATGAGTCAAAAGGGAAAAATTCACTTCAAAGCCTGCAATGTACTACTATATTTTTAGCAATGCCTATCACTTTGAAGAAGGATGAGATTTAACAAAGTGCTCTGTCTTTTCATGACTAATGGGATATGTGAAATAAGTAGAAAGTTGCATAGAGAGAGCAATAAAAATTATTTAGATATTTGTGCTGTGGTTAGATGTTTATTCATTCTTGAAGTTCATATACCTGTGGCTGAAACTGTTGAATGCACAAGCCAGAAAAGTACCTAAAACTACAAGGCCCTGATTTTTATTTCTTTTTGTTCCCTAAGCCTAGTGAAAATGTAACATAGAAGCATCTGTCTCATGTTTTGAATAAGGCTATTAATTTTGGCTTGCCATTGGATCATGTAATAAAAAAAATGAAAAATGGGTAATAAAGATTGATTTGAAATTATTAGACCCATGCGCTCTTCTGCAGACCTTGCTGTCAGCCCCGTCCCTGCCTGGATGGTGTTTCCTGGGACACACCGTACAGGTGACCCAGAAAAACCAAACCGGTAGCGCTTCATGCCCCATCCTTCCTTTTGTCCCAAGGGCTCCCCGGCCTCAGCGTGGCTGGGCTCAGGCTCCCCTGAGCTCTGCCTCACCTCGGGGTGCAGGCGTGGACCTGAAGGGCCCCCCAGGAGACTGAGGCTGACGGGGTGCTCCGGGGAATGGGTTAGAAACAGGGATTTGCTCTGAGGCTTGGCTAGTGCGGTTTGTTACGGGGCACCTGTAGCATGCTTTCTCCTGTCTCACACAATGCACTCTGGGCCTCTTCTGAGAAGTATTTGATAACATGGTTTTGAAACTGATTTCCATTTGTGAAACAAAGAATTTTAAAAGTAGCTATCTGAGAAGATTTCTAATTTTTTAGTCTCATCCCCTAACCCTTTTCCCCCTAGCTTGGTTCTAGTTTTAATAGTTCTGGCAGGCATGCCTTTTAGCATTGCTTTGATGCCTGGCTTGTGCTTTGCATAGTCATGACTTGTAAAAGAGATACCAGTTTCCTCTTGGGCAATTTCAGCATTGCAACCAATTTCTGCAAGAGTTTCCTCTCTGCTTTGCAAGGTGTGGGAGTTGACGGGACAAGTGTAGCTGTTTGTCAGAATTCCTTGCTGGTAAGGTCGTGGCTTATTTCTTTCCTCTTAAGCACCAAACATTAGTTGTTTCTGTCTAATGACATCTATTTTCTTTTTTTTTTTTTTTTAAAATATGATTTTATCTGATTTGATGCTTGCTTGGTACAATAAAGGAAGTTCATGCTGATATGTAATTGCCCTTTTTTAAAGGGCTGTGTAAAAGATCTTACACTTCCTTTCCCCCTTCTCCGCCCTTTTGGTTAAAAAATGCAAATGGATTACTTAAAAATAATGAAAACATTAGAAATAATTGGGTTGGTTTGTGGAGGGAGGACAAGTGGCAGTATGTATGTGAATGATTCCTACTTTGGAAAAATTTCATTCCAGTTTTGTTTTAAGATGCATCAAAGGGACAGGGTGACAGTCCTAGTCATGACTGTTTCATGTAAATAGAATATTTGTGAAGACAAATGTGCGATGTGGGAATGGAAGCAATTCTGTTATTGATTTTTAGGTTCCTAGAGAAAAATGTGAAAATCTAGTACCATGTAAAGAGAACTTAAGGTGCAATATGGGGGTAGAATGTAATGTGCTGTGGTGACAGCACTGAGCAGATCGATTTCTGTTTTTAATAGAATTTTAGAATCTATTAATTTTAATGTTTTTCTCATAGGCATGAAACTGTGTGAGTAAAGGCATAGCAAAAGTACTATGTGAACGGGCTTACACATACCATGAACAAAAGGACAGCTGGAACTAAAATCTCCTGTTCTTTGCCCCGCAACAGAAAACCCAAAACACTGACTGCATCTCAGGACTTGGGTTTTCCTCAACAAAATGCACCTCTGGTGAAAGCTGAGGTTAACAGCTTGTTTAATCATTCACTTACCTAATTGCTTCCAACAAGCCCTTATTGGGTTGAAGGGTAATGTGGATCTTTACCGGGGTCAGTTTTATTAGTTGGAGTTCTGGGAGGGTTTGTTATCCCTGCTCAGGAGCTGCAGTTCAGTTCAGTAGGGTTTTCCTGTCTGCTGGTTACGCCAACATTTAATGGTTTGTGACAAATCACAAGGGAGAGCGAAATTGCTTGGTAACTTCTCATGAAATGGCCTTTCTGCACCTTCCCCCCTACCTTCTTTGGGGAGCAGAGCGCCCTGCTGTGCCCCACTCTGTGCCCTGACTCCGGTGCCACAGCTGCGCGCGATGTGATCGGGGGGGAAGCCCTGCGGTGGGACATTCCCCCCTACCTTCTTTGGGGAGCAGAGCGCCCCGCTGTGCCCCACTCTGTGCCCTGACTCTGGTGCCACAGCTGCGCGCGATGTGATCGGGGGGAAGCCCTGCGGCGGGGCGGAGGCTGCCTGCCTCAGGTCAGGGATGCTGAAGCCCTCTGCTTTCAAATGCTGCGTGGCTCTGGCTTTGCCCGGCGCCCTGCCTCACCGCTGCCCTGCGGGAGCGGTCTGTGCCTCGACGCAGAGAGAGGGGGGCCTCGCACACCGCCTCCCAGCACCTGCATTCCACTGGAAAGCCACACTGGTGTCAAAGGTGGGAAATGTAAAAGGGCGCATTAAAATGTATGCTGTCTGCAGAAGTGTGCTTCATAACAGCATCTACACCAGAGTTGGGAAGCATCAGGGTGACGGAAAGCTTTGTTTCACTCCATAAATGGCAAAAGCCATTAATGTCAGGCTACTAATGTTCAGACGAACTTTTTGGGCAAGCTGCTTGCTACTTGTCCCCCTGTATGCTGGGAGACATGATTTCTTGCTGGCTGTCTGGTGGCCAGAAAGCAGCATTTGCATGTCCCCTTTTTTTTTGAGCGTGTTTCCACGAGTGCGTGCAGCAGCCAGGTGCTGCATGCTCAGCACGGCACGCTCTCCATCAGCAAGGTGGCTGGGGAAGGCTGATATGGGCTGAAGAGCTTCCACACTGGTTAAGATGCTCTCTGCTTTGTCCGTGTTAATTCTGGATGTTTCCCCTTGCCCCCCAAATCCATCCCTTCCACTCTTCCACATGATCTAGGTGAATTAACAGTGACTTGGTTGTGGGTGAACAAGATGAGGACTGCTTTGGATAAAGATGCAGAAGTAGCACGCTGTACAGACAACAGTATTGTTCACTCGCTTGATTAAATGGTGCGGGCGTGCAACCTGCTGCTAATCAGCTTGTCATGTGGAGGTCCCAGCAGGTCCTCAGCTGGTGCTGGATCCTGAGGCAGGAGCAGTAACGCAGAGATGGCTGTGCCACTAAACGGCACGCGGAATAGTGCCACTATTTTGTGTGCAGAACTGTCTTCAAGGGATCATTCAACCACCTGCCAGCACACCTAGTACTATTTATGGGCCTGGAGAAAGTGCCCTGCCTGATGCATCACTTACTACTAATGAAATCATGCTGAGTGTGGTTACACAATCGCCGAAGAGGGAGGTGGGCACTGAGATAATGCTGCATGTGAAACTATACCTATTAACCCTTTCTGCATCTCAATTTCCCTCTCAGCTGAAGCAGAGCCATATTTCTGTCTTTTCAGGATTTTTCTGAAAAGCAATGTATGCAGCTAAAGGCATAGCTCATCAAAGTGCGTATGCACTATGTTTATGCCTTAGTGACACACATTTCTAAAAATGTTTCCCTCTGCAGTCTCCTCTACCCTCTAATTGTTCACTTCTCTTTCCTATCATCAGCTTACAGGCTGGCTGCCCTCCAGTGTCTGCCTCTTTTGCTTTTGCTATGGGGCATCACTGGCCTAGGTCCCATGAATAGACTGAATTCTTCTGCCACGATGAGTGTGTCTGTCCTTCTTTAGCTCTATTCCCTGCCTCTGGCTTAGCTGAGTCACACTTTCTCTGTGCGTACACTTTTAGTTGTCCCCATGTTCTTGTCTCTTTCCTCTCCAAACAGGTCTTGATGATTGAGGCGGGGGGTGTGGGGAAGGAATCAATGAAGTGACATGGCTTTGCCTCACCTACTACTTCTTTAACTGCTTCTTTTCCTGCAGATATGGGTTTCTCATCTGGGCAGGGCTCATCTGCCTCAGACTTCCTTACCTTGCTTTTCCCCAGAGCCTCCTCTAGTCTTTCTCCCTTTTCTCAGCTAGTTTGTTTTTATTTCTTCTATTAAATACAATCAACCAACAAAAATCTCTGTTCTCTGCCATCATTTTATCCTGGCACTTACCTTTGGTTTTATGTGAAAATCACTTCTTAAAACCTTACTGTCCATGATTCTGTCTGCCAATGGTTCTCCACCTGTTTTCTGAGACACTTACAAATTGGTTTTCAGAAGGTCCTGCTATGCTCCACGATACTGTCTGTGGTCTACTAAAAGATCCTGTCCTCTGATCCATTTTTCCTCTGCACCTTATGCCCAAGTAATGTTATTCACAAGCATCAGTGTTGCTTCTCTGCCTATGAAGGGCAGATAGATTCCTATAATACAGAGCTGTATTTTTTTTTTTTTTTTTTTTTTTTTTTTTACCAAATGTAGAGTTTGGCCTGTCTCTCTGATATGTCACGGCTCAGCCTTTAGCTGGACCCAGCCTCATCAACTTTTGCCTCTCCTAAATCATCCTTGCTCGTTATTGACAATGAAATAATGGTCCAAGAGCCTTCTTCAATTCTCTGTGTCCTCATTTCCAAGCTATGTTTAAATTTTGCACATGCTTTCAAATGCCTTCACTCTCCATACACAGAAATAAACTGTCATCCAAGTTGTCATTATCTCATGTCACATTTACTGAAATCTCCTATTCTCTGGCCTTGACAAAAGCAATTTCAATACTTCATATCAATTCAGAAACCAACTGCAAGGATAATTTTCTTGCTCTGCTTCTTTGTTGAATCTCCCAGCCTATCTATGTACGCTTCTGGGCAGCATCAGATATACTGAGCCTTAACTCTCATTTTGAACTCCCTGGGATCCCTCCCTCCCTGGGATCCCTCTCTTAGTTTTACAAACATTTGAAAACATTATATCTCATTATTTTTGAAAGCCACTTGCTATGACACTAACACAAACCTTGACAATGCCTGTCTTCAGGCATGCTGAGACCCAACATATGAACCCAGTGACTCTTGTCTCAGTGGTATCTTGGACTCCATCTGATTCCTGTCTGCATCCTCCTGTTGTGTCCTGTCTTAAACTGGAAGCTGCCAGAGCAGAGTTACCTTCTCTTTTCTTCCATGTTCCTACGGTACCTGATATATGGTCCATTATAATGGAAATGAACATACTGCAACCCCTATTTGCTAATACTTAAGAAAAGTTTCTTCAACAATATTTTGGGTGGTAATGCTGTGAATCGTTTTACATAGTTCCCTGCTTTGTTACATTGTGTAGCTGCTTTGTTATCCTCGTTCCTTCTTGCAAGGTCTCAGGAGAACTCACGCTCTTATTCTTTGATGCATCCAAGTCTATGAGCTTCTTCCAGGAACAGCTTCTGGGTACAAGCACCACAAAAATACTGTACCAGCTGAGTCATATTAATTGTGCTTATTTTCTCTTGATCTAAAGCAAATGCAACTGCTAGGCAATTCAGTTCAGCTTAAATCTCTTTTGTAGTTAATATGTCTTGGCCGAGACACAGTAACTTGCTTGTGTGTCTGAGCTTTCTGTAGCTCCCTAGTGAAGTCTTCAAATGATTTGTGTGGATCTCACAAAATGCAAGGAGAATGGAGATGATGGCAAATAATCAAATTTTCTCAGAAAGCAACAGTGTGAAGCTGTTTGTAGTAAGTAGGAAGCAGATTTGTTGTTGAACATCTCTTCAATTAAGAACAAAATAGATAATTGGGAGGGGAGGAATGGGGAAACAGAAATTATTACTGTTATTATGTACTAGCGATTTAGTGCACTGGAGGAGTTCTTTTTGGGTATAATTTTTTCGTCTTGTGTCTGGAGACTTGTGGGTTGCACCCAAGTGTACTACCAGTGCACTTGAAGCACTTTTCCTCCTGCTGAGATGAAGATTGAAGCTGTACTAAAGTGCCGCCTAGCACATGCCATTGCAGGGGTAAGCAAGATCCTCCAGCAGTTTTCTGTCT